AGTAGTTACAGATGGAAAACTGAGATGCTGAATTACTGCTTTATGTTTTATAGGTATTCCATTATTGGGTCTTAAACTATTAGTTTTAAAGGTATAAGACAATTTGTTGATGTTTATTTTCCAGGCCCAAAAAGTAATTTAAGCATAGCAGTGTGTCTGGAGAACAATGTTTTGGCTTCACCATAAAACTGCTTTAACCCAATGTCAATGTATCATCAGACTACTCTGAAGGATGTTTTAAGAAAATCTGTTACTGTTACAGTACTGCTGAGTATTTTTTACACTGTTGTTAATTAAATATGACTCTCCAGGAGAAATTTTTGTCTAGTCTCTGTACAGGAGCAACTACACTTATCTTGAACATCTGGTTCATTTTTATTGATGAACACTGCTGGTCTTAGCTCTTTAATTATGCTAGATGTTAGAAAGCTATTGCTAAAATACAAGGTCTATGTCTAGCAAATGTATAGAACCTTAAAATAGCAGGCTCCATGCCCAGTGTGGAGCCTGATGTGAGGCTCGATCTCATGATCCTGAGATCATGACCTGCGCAAAATCAAGAGTCGGATGCTTAACCAACTGAGCCACCTAGTACCCCTGATCTACTTCATTTTGTATGCATTTTTCTAAGCCACAATTAAATATTCATTTGAATAAATTCATAACATTAATTAAAATGATCAATGCTATAACATAACATATATATTTTTTCAAAAATATGAACTAGAAGTTTCTGTTCCATCATTCTTTTATACTGTCAAAGGCAATCAGATTAGAAACTATATTCTGGGATCACTTTGGTGCCTTTTTCTTTTTTTTTAAAGCTTTTATTTTTAAGTAATTTCTACACCCAACATAGGGCTCGAACTTACAACACCAAGATCAGGAGTTGCATGCTTTACCGAACGAGCCAGCCAGGCACCCCTGGTGCTTACCTTTTCTGCTACTTCCCGCACAGACTGAACACTTGTTCCATACAGATGGTTGTTATACTGGCCAGCTTCAATAAATTTATGTTCTTGAATGTCTTTTTCCATCTGTTCTCTTGAAGTCACAAAATGATAATCTCTTCCATCTACCTCATAGTCTCGTTTTGGTCTAGTTGTATCTTTAACAGAAAATAACTTGAGGAAGTGTTTAGTATTAAACACAACAAATCCATTTTCTGCTTCAATAATAGTAAAGTTCAACACAATGGCAATTAACTGAAATTTAAAAAGGGACAATAATACGCAGGAATACCTGATAACTTAGTATAAACCATTAAAAAATGGTAATGTTTACTTTTACCACACATGATGACAAAATGTTAAGAGCAATAATTAACAATTTTTATGTGGGTTACTCACGAGGAACACATGATCCAAATTTGTCAGGAAATTCTGAGATCAAGTCATCATTTATCCTGTCTTTCATAGGTCCCAATATGATCACTGGTCGAGTATAATTAACTATAAAGATAAACTGCATGTTAAAAGGAATAAATACTCAACAAACATCAATGTACTTCAGACCAGAGAACAAAAGTATCCTAATTAAAAATTAAAAATATTAAAAATTTTTTCTTTTCCCATCAATGATGCCTAACTTGCTAGTTTATAAACGTTTACTAAGATCTTAAACAAGTCAGTCTTCTGTTGGAAGTCATACACTTGATAACTCAACCAAGTTAAATTCAGAATTTTAGCAGTGTTTCTATACATTGCTAATATCACCTCATTACAAATGAGAAAACACAGTTTAGTGTTTTACTGATCCTTTTTGAAGTAGAAATTGGTAGGAAGCAGATCAAAGAAGGGCAAAAAAGAAACTGGGCATAAGAGTTGATATAATCACAGTTGTGATCTAGAAAGATGATCTAATAGAAGTGGATTACACCTTACACTGGATTTTAAGGGATCATGTTAGAAACAGGGAGACTGATAGTAAGAACCAGAATTAACATTATGGTAGGAAGGATGAAAAGAAGGTTATAAATAAGGAAGATATGAGAGAAGATAAATAGGGCCTAGAAACTGGACAAGGGAGATGAAAAACAGAAAGATCAAAGATGTTTGCAAAATTTTGAACAAGGGTCACTGAAGGACAGTGACACTATCATGAGCACTAGAAATAAGTTGCTTAGGAAATAAAACAGCATTATAAAACAATATAAAATGACTAGATTTCAACATACTGTGAACTAAACCATGTTTAATAAAATACATATAGCAAATTTCTGTATATATACTTACAGAAAAAAAATAACAAAATTCTAATAGAATTATTTTGAGGTAGGAGTTAGACCTATTTTCTAAACTAAGAAGTATATTTTTCTAGAAGATTATAAAACATCAATAGGCTTCACAAACCTTCTTGTTGATTCACTGGCTCATAAGACAAGACATATTCTTCTTGACCACCTATTAGTCAAAATACAGATGAGAAAATCTATTAAGATAACTAATGCTAATTTAATTCTTCATACATAACATATAAATTGCTAGGACTTTCCTCAGAGAATAGCAAAGATGTAGAAAAAGGTACTTTATTTATGGGAAGATTAAGTTAAAAAAGTAGCAAATTATGAAGTCATAAGGATAAGTCTAATAAATGTAAAAGCAGAATATAAATGTGCTATTTAACAACTACCTTTCTGTTATCCTGTGTTTTACATTATCATTAGATCTATTTAAAATCTTCATTTGTGACGTCATGTATGTGATACTTTTTATTTAGAAGCTAAGAACTATTAAGTCTCTTAAAGATAAGTACTTTAATGAAAAGTTCTACATATGTGAGTATTTATGTAATTTACTGCTATTAAGAATATGCTGATGTTTTGGTCCCACCAGATATAATATTTAACACGATATATATACATTTTTATTTATAACTATAATAAAAAAATTGTAATGTAAAGGTAAAACTGTTGTCACTATTTCACTGATGAAAAAAATTCACTAATTGCTCTAATAATTCATTTATTCAATTAAAAAATAAATTCATTTAAAATGAATTTAAAAAGCTTTAGATAAGGGTGCTCCCTTCTACTTGCTGGAATGGGATGCTGCACAATTCCTTAATTGCTTAAAAAGCCAATTAGATCTTCAAAAAAAAAAAAAGCTTTGGATAAAACTAAATCCTTCCCTTCCCACTCCAACTATGAATCACATAGATAGCAAATGAAGTAAGATATATTTTGCTTTGATTTGAAAGCACTTTAGAAGTTAAATCCTCTAAGATTAAGTTAAAGGTTTAGAGCTTAAGAATATCGTCAATAAAAAACTCTACAAATTGTATCTTGACTCAGCGAAAGGAACTGACTTAAAAATTCCAGTTCTTACACACACACACACACACACACACACACACACACACACACGTATAGAAAACAAACTAGGAAGGACTGTTACTTCAAGTGGTTCAATGAAAACAGTCAATGTTGGATAACATATTTGAGGATTTTTCTCCTTGATTATCAAGATTCTATAACAACTTTTTCACTAAATTTGGCACTGGTTTATATCATACGTATGCAGCTGTAGATTTTTTTAAACTCATATATTGGCTTTAAAAGTGTATTTCATTGCTTTAAAAGTGTTCTTTCCTGCTTTAAAAGTGTATTTTACTGTTTTATTGTCATAATATATAAAAAACATACCTAACAAGCTGCTTTTAAAAATATTGTATGTAAAACAGGGTTTACATATTAGCAAAAACATGCAACTTGAATATTCCACACCTAACAATTCATGCAAATGGTGAGACAGACAGTATATACTTTCATTACCTCTTTTTTTTTTTTAAGTCTATAAAGTTACTTAACTACTCTATGGTGAGTTCTGATTATATGTTAATAAAACATTAACAAGAAATCACATTCCCACACCAAAAAAAGAAAATCCTTATGTAACTATTATGCAAAAAATAACAACCAATCGAATGAGGGTTAAAAGTATATATTGTCAACATGAAAAATATCAGAGACTGATATTAACAGGATGGACCTTTTGAGCAGCCATACTCATCTGTAATCAAGATTACTTTCATATTAGACAGCAGTAAAAAAAAATTAGAAAAGCAATTTTAATTTTTAAGGTACAACTGATAATATTCATGTACTCCCCCCTCCTACCATGTCCAAATCTATTAAAAAACTCCAGATGCTTATAGTTCACTTAACAATATAATAGCAAAAATGTAACATAAGGACACCAAAAAAGAAATCAGTATTATTGTATGAGCAACTGTTGAAAATTTTTCCTTCATCGTTTAGGTTCACCAGAAGCTGGTAGTAAACAATAACTTGATCTAGATCATTACTGGTGACAAAGAATAAAAAAGGAAATAAAGCTATCTATAATTTAGCATTACTGAAAAACATTTTATTTAAAAAAATTTTTTTTAAAAGATTTAATCATTTGAGACAGAGAGAGAGAGAGAGAGAGAGCATGAGCAGGGGGAGAGAGGCAGGGGGAGAGGGAGAAGCAGGCTCCCTGTTGCGCCAGGAGTCTGGGATCATGACCTGAGCCTAAGGCAGATGCTTAACCATCTGAGCCACCCAGGCGTCCCTTGAAAAACATTTTAATGCTCATATTAAAAACATATTTACTAAAGAAAATGGCAAAACGCAAGTTTACCCCTCATTTAACTAGATATTTTCTTGTAAAAGACACACACACACACACACACGCACGCACGTACTATGTACACAAATAGCACTGTTTGTAAAGAGGATTTCAGAATTTTATTTAAAATTTTGGAACTTTGTTAACTTTTGTACATAGTATGACTTTATTTTTCAATTCAGAATTTTACTTGGCTCTGATTTTAAAATGTTAAGCATCTGATACTCAGTTTTTAGAATACATCACTAAGACAAAAAACTCCCAAAGGATATATATTACTCGTGATTACAAAAGAAAAGTAACTTAAAACACTTACGGTAACTACTTTCACTATCGCTGGCATTAGAAGTTATATGCTCTGAAATTGCAGGACAATGGAAAAAATAAAGAAAACACAGTGTCATGAGTTTAAAAAAGCAAATTATCAAAATAAACACAAGGCGACATTACAAAATGTTGAGATATAAATCACACATAGTCAAAGAATTTTTAAAAAGCATTTTTGATTTTTCTTTGAGACATTTTTTTCCCCAAATATGAATTAGGAAGGAAAGAAATCATGTAATTAAGGACAATGCTCCATTTCTGTACAACACAGTTTATGAACAAAATCTGAAAAATAATCAAGTAGAATATGACAAAGAGGGCAAGGTGATCCTAAATTGGTCCAAATGTAGACACAGAACCCAAAAAGAGAAAATGCAGTTGGCACCATTTAATTTATGAAACAGTAATGACCGACAAAAGAGACAAGTTATATTTGAGCAAACAGATGCCCATTTTAATGAAGGGATATCTTAAAAAAATAAATGATCTTGCTTTTAGTTCAGCTTCTTTCTTGTTCCTGAAAAGAAACGAAAATCCAGGTCTCTGAGATCATACAGATAAAACATTTTAGTGTCATAGATGCAGATGTTCCAAAAAAAAAAAAACAAGGGAATTCTAGAAGGTGGGACTGTATTTTAAAATAGACTAGTATTTCTGAGAAGCTCTGTTTTGATAAAATTGACACTGGCTGCTTTGCAAAACAAAAAAGATAAAGCAAATACATCTACTTGCAAATTGCCTGGCCTCTCCTTGAAAGTGACCCCATTTCATAACTTGATTGTTCCGTAAACACCAGGTACTCTTCCCATGTAAATGTAATCTTGAATGTTCTCTTGATAAGTATCTCCAGAGAGTAAATAAAATAAAATTATAAAAACTAAAAAACAAAATTGTCCACAGGAGAAAGAGAAATCTAAATTTCTTATGTGAGGCAAACGAAAAAAAATTTTAAGGGGTAAGAAAACAGCTTGAGGAGAAATATCTGCTGTACCATACCACCCACAGAGTCTCCTAAAATCAAGATGCACTACTGAAAAGTTCTGAGAATGGTAGAATGTAAGATTTCAAATGAAGATAATAGTTCTTGAACTGCTGTCATGGTGAAAAATAAGTCTGTTATTCTAACCTGCAAAGACAAGATATAATTTTCTTCCTTTTTTAAAATTGCAGTATAGCTGACAGTGTTGGATTAGTTTCAGGTGTAAGGATATAACTTTCTTAATTATGATTATAAATATTTTAAATACAGCAGGGACATTAAAAATTGTAAGATTGAATAACATATGACAAGCACATGTAAAATGAAGTTTTTTAAAATTGTATTTAAAAATTTCTTCCCATGTTACATGTACTTCGAAACAATCATTTTAAATTGTTGCATAATATTCTATTGAACTGATAAATTGTAATTTACCTTACTACTTACTACTCAGACATTTTAGTTTGCTTTAAATTGTTTTCCACCAACATCAATAATTAGGAATGTCTTCATTTATACAACTTTTTAATCTCTTGTCCTATTTCCTTAAAATTCATTCCCCGAAGTAGGAATGACACATAAAAAAAAATTCTTATAAATTTGTATTAGGATTAGTATTGTACTCTACAATCTCTAATACATAAAAGAGAGAAACATTAGTTACTGCAATGGAGTGAGTGAAGGGGGCGAGTAAGGGGGAGTATAGAAGAGACAAAATTAACCATGAGTTGACAATTACAGAAGTTGGGTAAATGAATACTTGCAGGCTTTAATTTACTATTCTTCTACTATTGAATATATTTGGCATGTTATATAGTAAAAAGTTAAAGCTACTACAAATCTCTTTTCTGGCTTTTCTGGGGATTTCTTCTACTCATCTCAAATTCTCTAAGATTACCGATAGCTGTTATGCAATCAAATTCTTCAAGTTCTTTCACGTATCCTTATATGTAACTCTACAATAAAATTTTGCTATTCAAAGCACGGCCCTTGGAATAACATCATCATCACTGTGTGGGAGTATTTATTAGAAAGGTAAAATGCTTTCTTCTTTTTTTTTTAAAGATTTTATTTATTTGAGAGAGAGAGAGAATGAGAGACAGAGAGCACGAGAGGGAAGATGGTCAGAGGGAGAAGCAGACTCCCTGCCGAGCAGGGACCCGATGCGGGACTCGATCCTGGGACTCCAGGATCATGACCTGAGCCGAAGGCAGTCGCTTAACCAACTGAGCCACCCAGGCGCCCTAAAATGCTTTCTTCTTGATAATTAAAATATATTTTTTAAGAAACCTCACATCAAAAAAGGTATTCAAATATCCAGTAAACATATAAAAAGGTGTTCAAGCTTTCCTTGTAATTCTTCCCTGTAATTACTTATCAGTGAAATGCAAAATAAAGCCACAACAGATATCTCTACCATCCACCAGAATGGCTATAATGAAAAAAACCCAAAAACATATGCCAAACACAGAGAAGGTAAGTAGCAAGTGGAACTCATATACTACTGAGGATGGCGAAATTGGTACAACCACTATGGAAAACTATTTGGCAGTGACTACTAAAGCCCCACAGATGTATGTATGTATGACCCAGCAATTCCTTTCCCAGGTATTTTCCCAACAGAAAGACATATATATGTTGACCAAAAGACATGTGCAAGAATGTTCAAAGCAACACTATTCAAAATAGCCCTAAATATGTTTATTTACAAGTCTTAGATAATATATGCAGTTTCATATTCTTTTTAATTTATATTATGAGCATTTTCCCATGTCATGTTTTAATATGATTTTCAATGGTTATATGATATTACAAAATACGGATAAATCATACTTCATTAACCACTTCCCAAATATAAAGACATTTTAGGATGGTTTCAAAGTTTTTGACTGTAATTTCTCAATAAAATTAAAATAAACTTCCTGATATATAAACCTTTATCTCTATCTCTGACAACATACTTAGGATAATTCCTTGAAGAGGAATTAGTAGTATATCAAAAGATATACTTTTCCAGATATGCATAATGTTAATATATTAAAACTAGGCATTTCATACAACTCTACCACTGGGTTCTCCTTTAAAAGAAATGTCTGTCAAGATGATGGGTAGAAATTATCATTTTGTTTACTGATTACTGGGGACATTAAGTATTTTATATACTCATTTCATTTGTTATTTTTTGAGCATTCTTCTCACATCCTTTGTTCAGTTATCAAATGAAGAGTTAGTCTGTTTCTTACTGATCTGTTAGAAGTTCGTAAAGATATCCCTTTGACATACATGGTATATTCTTTAAGTTTTAATTTTGATTTTGTTTATGATGTTTGATGACCACAGCCATTTCAAATCTAACCAAGTCTCCCCCTTCTAATCAAACATTTCTTCCTGAGAAGGTATCATATGCCTTTTCTTTGCTCTCCCTAACTACTACCTACACATCACTAATCTTAAGCTATACTACTACTCTTACACTTATTCTTTATACAAATAAAAATAAGTCTGGTTTTGGCATCTAAGAGCTCCACACAACTTTGTTTCTGTAAGTCTTTGAGATGAGAAGAAAGGCTTCCCATTACATATCTTTTTCCTTATGTGCCTGACAAGAGTTTTTGAGGTGTTCTACAAAATGGAAAGCTGTAAAAATTGAGCTATAGGTACAAACCTCGTCTGAAACTATGTATCATGATTTCACTTCTGAGCACCTTACACAGCCCCTCCTGAACTTCTTTTTAGTCTCTGTTAAAGGAATCTTACATTTTCCTTCTCACCTTTTTCAAAGTTGCCTTAAGATATACAAGTTGTACACGTTTCTATTTCTAGCTTTTCACAAGCTATGATGATTTACTTGCATTCTCTCACACTTCCATCACATTCTAGTTAGTTGTTAGTCAAAATTAGGATTGGAAAGGCAAATTCTCTCATTGTTTACTCTCAACAGGGCAAATCAATGATTTATTTGATTCTCTTTTGTAGAATCACTGAGTTCATATCTATGAAAAGTATTCAGGGTATCACACTTTTGTTTCTCTCCTCTTCAATTAAATACCCTATTTTTCATAGGTTACATGAAATTACGTGCAGATGTACATCTTTCTTGATATTCAGTGTTATTCCATTTCTTCATCGGGTTTGTTTCTCTGAAATAATTTATGCCTTTTCTTCTCAGTCCCTTCATGAGTCCTGTTTCAACAAGGCTTGATGAATACCTATATGAGTCACACTTATTTCTTTCTATTAAAATCTCACAAGATTCTGCTTAGTTTATTTCCTGTATTTGGAACTTTAGAATATAGATTGCTGAGGCTACGAACAAAGTCCCTGACCACCCTTTTCCCAGCATTTTCTGTTGTATAATAACTGGCACCTTGTCAACTGTTAGTCATCTGTTTTATCCAGGTTTAGAATTTTTACTGATATTTTCCTGTCTCCCTCATTTGATCATCAAGTTACCAGGTGAATAAATTATCTTAGTTCCTGTGAGATGAAGCACAAAACCCATCATTCAAGGGATCTTAAGTCTCTGTCCAGAAAATTAAATCCTTTTCTAAAGGACACTGTCTGATAATCAGTTACTATTTTTCATTTGTTTCTTCTCAAATCCCAATTGTCAAAATGAGAGATGGAAATAAGATGTGGCCAAGGTGTAATTATCATCCACCATAACAATATTAACATAGTAAACAAATTATCCATTTAGTTTCTTTCCAATGAGTTTTCCACAGGTCTCTAATGATTTAGCAGATAATAAAAATCTGTGGGTTTTTTTATGCTGAATCATACCACCTCTAAAACACATCATTCTCAAAATAAATTCTATAGCATTAAGAATCTATGGAAATATTTTCCAGTTTTAAAGATTTTCACTGACTATTTTCCCCAAAGGTAAAAGATTAAAAAAGGGTACCACCAGTAATAGTAAATTTGTGGCTCTTGCTGAATTGTAAAAAGGCACAGGCAAAAATAACCAAGTGTGTCTATACAGAAATAATTACATATAAAGCATACTGCCTCCAATCTAATACAAACTTTTAATTGTTAAGGTTGAAATAAAAGTACCTATACTTTAGATTAAAATTCCAGTATAAAGTTAGCATAAATCATGGAAAAAAATCTTCTATGAAATATAATGTTTACTAATGTAGATCTTAGAAAGTTAAAAGATATTGGTTATATATATATATATATTTTTTAACATGCTGGACATGGAGCCCAATATGGGGCTTGAACTTATGACCCTGAGCTCAAGAACCAAGCTGAGATCAAGAGTTGGATGCTTAATCGACTGAATCACCCAAGTGTCCCGATATTGGTTATATCCTTAATGACCAATGAATTACAAAAAGTAAGTTTTCAATATGCTTAATAATCCAAATAGAAAGAACTATCCAGGAAAAAACTTTTGTCTAAGAGATTACTTCTATGAGTCGCTGTCACCTAAAATAACTTAGTAATATTCGGTAAACTTTCATATACAATCAATTTGAGAACACCTAAATTTAAAATTTTGTTTGCTAAAAAATGACCTGTTTCATCCATTCACTCTAACATTTACTGAATGACTCCTATATACCAGACTGTACCAAGTTTCATATGAAGATTAAGTACTAGTTAGAAAATTAAATAAGAACAAGACAAACCCAAAACCACTGACATCTTGGTTAAAGGAAAAACAAAGGAAAATATTTCTTATAATTCTTTAAGTAATTTACAACCTCCTTGAAAAAGAGATCTATAATTTCCATCCCCCTACATCAACTGCTACTTGAATCTGAGGTCCACAATTCTTTTCTATTAAGATTCATTATATTTTAGAGTTTCACATTATAGCAATACTTTTCTAACACAGAATCAAAGTGATTTTAACTTGTTTTAACAAAAAACCCGGTGGACATAAAACTGCAAGATTATTTTCTACATTCTAATAATGTAGGCAGGTAGTACTATCTTAAAAAGCTTAAAAAAAATCCCTAGCAAAAGTAATTGCCATAAAAACTACAAAAATGAAAACCTAATTATGAGCAGTTTTTCAAATGACATGTGAAAAATGGAGCATTAGAAAAACAAAAGGTATGTATTACAGAAATAAAAATCCCAAGCACATTATTAATATGAAAAGTCTAAAAGCAATCTAAATCATATACCTCCTCATGCCAGAAAGGCGCTACCATGAATCTCAAAATGTATCTGAAAAAGGTAGTTCTGTAGATGGAGGTTAAAAAATAACTTGGGAGTATTTTGATCACTTACTCAGGCCTTTTGATCCCATGTCGTCAGGGATCTCCTGTAGAGAGTAGTTCCCAGAGAGCAAGCAATAAAAAGATAATCAAAGAAAATAGTTGTCAGTAATGCATAAAATTGGTGCTACAATAAGAGACAGTTCCAAGACCATTACAGGTGTACATATTTTAGAGAATTTTTGTAGATTTCTGAAAGTTTGAAATAAGCTAGCAGCTGAATGTAATGTACTAAAAGAATCAAAGTTCTAGCTTAGGGGCTGATTTCGGGTAGAGAAGCAAAATTTGATATTATTTCCTGTTATTTTAAAAGTAAAATTCAGATTGTCTACATGTACTGAAGACATAGGATAAAATGGAATGATTCCAGAAGATCTGTATCCAAGACTGTCAATGCTATACCTAGAAATCATTAAGTAGCTTCTCAGGTATCTAAGTTTCCTTTAAAATAGTCTTTGAAAGCATTTTAAGTGTTTCTTCTAAGAACCCTTACATCAAATAATTCTATTTTAAACACATAACTTAAAAATACTGTTAACTTTAAATTAAGAATTCCTAAGGTGCCAGAAAAAGTTAAGATTGGTATGCAAATTAATTTATGTCTGTTAAGTTGCTCCTGGTTAAGACAGTTGGTAACCTGTTGCAGCTCTTGAAACTGTCTCCATGGTAACAACCAACTGCAGGGCAGTAGGTCCCTCTACATTTATTTTCAGTTGACCACTGGATCCACATACTTACGGTCAGCATCACTTGTTTCCTGCTCACTCTGGTCCTTGTTCTTGTAGAAGGGGAATTTTCGGGAAAAGAGGTTCTTTTTACGCTTGTCATTGAATGACTGCTGAAGAAGAGAAGGAGGGGCAAAACAAAGGGATGTCTACTATCTGTGTGTACAAAGGCCCAGCCTAGCAGCTCTGTGGAAGCTGACTCTTGTGACCACAGTGTGCAGTTTGTATATGAATTTTATTAATCACAAAGTGAATTTCTAACTTTGTATTAACTCCTCTAATTCTAACATTTCTCAACTTAAAATATTTAAAAATTTACAGTGTAATTCAGTAATATCTAGAAATAAGGACTAAGTGCTACCTGATAAAAAAAAAATACCTAGAAATAAGGAGTAAGTGCTACTGGAAGAGTAACTCAAATTAGCTACTACTATAGTACAAACCAGCTAATATCTGTTCTTATCAATCCATATTTTTCTAGAAGATTCCCAGGTATGAAGTGCTCTATAGAAGTTATTTTAAATTATTATTCTAGGCTATTCAAGTATTTTTTATGCAGTAGGTAATAATCTTCATTTTCCTCTGACTTGAGCATATTCCCTCCCTACCCTTTTTTGTGGCTCCAATAAGCTAACAAAAAGCCACTATTAAAAAAAACAAACCAAGGGCGCCTGGGTGGCTCAGTCGGTTAAGCGACTGCCTTCGGCTCAGGTCATGATCCCAGGGTCCTGGGATCGAGTCC